TATTGAATATCTCGAGAAAGACATGTTTGTTTTCCTTGAAACTTTCAGAACCCTCTAATGACTATCAAACATACCTATAGGCAAAATTTCAGGCTGAAATTCTTTATTTTTGGTTTTACAGAAATATCTTATTTTCAAAAAAAAATTTCATTTAAACGATCATAAATCATTATCAATAGTCTATGGGTTCGAGTTCTTTTAAACTTGTCTTTGTCTCACCAAGAGACCTACTCGTAACCATAATATGAAATCGAACGCTATCCGACACTCGGATTTATTTCCTCGTAAGATATGAATTTCAAGTGCTGCGTAAGATAGGGATATATTGACAAATTCATATCTTGGCAATGTGATAATCAAAATCGATAAAACTTTATGCATGAAATATTCTAATAGAGATCTTTCCATGTACAAAGTTTAAGGTCGAAAATTACTAATATTTGATTTTTTCGAGAAGTGGACCCCTGCAAGGAGATTCTACTGAAAATTCGCTATCTCGACCAAATCTAAGCATGAAGAGAATACTGTTGAAGATTATACTACTCTGGTAATCTCCTTTATATAGGCAAAATATGGAAACAAACGAAGTAGATCACTTGAGAATCTTCCTTCGTTAGACTATAATCTATTTTGGATTTCTTTTTTTTAGGTACTTGATGTTTGGTTAAATACAAATCCAAATTATCAAGAAATTCAACGATGGTATAGTGGTTGGCGTTCATTACTTCCACAAGCAATTATTAATCATACAATAATAAAAGAAAAATTAACAGAAGGTTTAATGATGATTTATCAAAGAATATCAGAAACATTTAATGTTCAACAAACATTATCAACATCGTCATCTGAACCATCTGTAAATGTTAATTATGAAGTAAGATTTTTGTTTTAGAAATAAATTTTAGTTCATTGGGTTTATCTTATATTTTAGACAATTTATAATCGTGGTGTTGCAATATCATCATCAAATGTTGTTTCATCATTTAAAGATCTTATTGAAAAGAAAGCTGCTGAACATAATCTATTGTTTTTAACAGTATCAAATCGAACATTTGAAGGACATCAAATCTATCAATTAGGAAATACGAATATTTACATGGATAAAAGTGTTATATTTGTACATGAAACTAGTCAATGGGTGCCAACACATTTATATGATGTTATCAATAGACAATTTGATTTATGTTTTTAGTGTTATTTTTTGTTTTTTGTTATGATAAATTAATTTTCTTAATAAAAAGGTTCATGAAATGAATTTCCTATGTGAAATCATATTGAACAACTTTTTCATTTATTTGATATTTTGGAAAAACTTCTTTGGACTGCAAATCAGAAATCTCAATGGGCTGACTCGATTCAAACATAGGTGCACCTATAGATCGAATTTTAAATAAAATATAAAATTTTTGAAAAGATGTTGTATATTTCCACTAAAGTTTTTTTTGAAAAGTCAACGTAATTCTTCCATTGATTTTAAAATTTCTGCAATTAACAGCAAATACATGAAGCAAAACAAAAAAAAACAAAATCATCGTCACCTTTAAAATAATTTCTTTACATATAACAAAATGTTCTTCACTAGCTCTCTTCGCTCAACAAAAATTACAACATCGTCATCATCAAGTACTTTTTCTAATTCTAATTCTATTCTTACTGAACCTTTTCAATCATCACTTTTTGCTGACGATTTTTCTTCAACTACTGATGTTGATTCATCATTATATACAAAACAGTAGACATTCGAACAAATCAACGAAAGTAGTGCTTTCCTATGGATTATTTCTCCGTATTAGCTTTTTTTCTTTTGTTATTTTTGGTTTAACATTTTTTTGGTTGTAAGTGGTATAATGATATGAAAGAACGCAACCAGATATTGGACATTTTCAGTATTAGTGGAAAACTCATTACATTTAGAACAGAGTACCTTCTACATAGAAAAGAAAAACTCTAAACACGACTAGTATTTTCTAAGTTTTTATTATTAAAAGTTAATTTTTTATTGAAAGCGAGTATGATTTTGGAAATCAGCGTGGAAACATACGTTAGAAAGTCTATCTTTCTTCGGGAAAAGACTTCCAATCAAATTTTATCTGCAGGATGGTGGTACAGTCGAAATTTGACGAAAAAAAAAGTTAAGAGGAAATAGGGCGAAAAGTTTGATTAGAGATAATGTGCGGTGAAATGCAAAGTTTTCGATGTATTTTTGCGTACTAATTCGGAAAAACGTTTATTTCTAGTAAAAATCAATTTTTGATAATCAACATCTAGAAATACCAGTGGATTCTTAGTCTTTTGCATGAAAGTGATCCTGCTCTAAAAATAATGAGTTTTTACTAACACTGAAAATCTAAAGGTTTGGATCAGAATTTCTTTTATTGATAACATTACTCACGACACAAAGCATAATGAAAAAAAAAAGTGACTGAAAGTATAAGTACCATTTTCTTTGATCATTCTGAGTGTGGGTGTGGGTGTTCTTTTCATCAACACGCACACTCACAACCACACCTTCAAATCACTAACAATTGATATGATTCAATAAGCACCATTGGAACGCGTTCTGCTAGCTTTGAATTGTCATCAACTATATACAACGACTTGCAAATATGATAATATATCTCTATTAAATTGAATATGAATTAATAAGATAAAAATAAAGTGACGAACTAATTAGAAAGAAAATATAGTCCGAGAAAGTGTCGTAACATGTTGCAGCTGACAAAGCATTATGGATTGTCTGCAAGCATATGTATGTCATCGATGACGATAAAATATTTTTAGACAAAAAAAAATCAATGTTTTCGAAAAAGACAAATGTCATTTTGGAAGAGATCATGAAGACAACGTCACTTCCACGAAAGTGCTATATTTATTAAGAGTATTCGACTTCATAAATATACAACTCTGCACTACTAATATACTCAGTGCCAACATATCCACCACTAACTAACACATTTCCAGTGGATAATACGGTCGATGTATGCTCAGATCGTGCAATATTCATACTAGGAGCAGTTGTCCAAGTTCCCGTTGCTGGATCATACAACTCAGCACTACTTAAATAGATATTACCATTCCGTCCACCATTTACTAAAACTTTTCTATTCTTTAACAGAGACGTGCCGTGTCCCCATCGTCTAGTGCTCATATTGCCAGTAGCTGTCCAAGTTCTTGTTGCAGGATCATATAACTCAGCACTATTTAGATAGGTATCACCAGTAGTATATCCACCAGTAATTAATACTTTTCCATTGGATAATACGGACGATGTATGATCTTCTCGGGCAGTAATCATATTGGTAGTATTTGTCCAATTTTCTGTTTCAGGATCATATAACTCAGCACTATTTAGATAGCCAATATTATGATGACATCCACC